CTCCTCCTCCTCCTCCTCCTCCTCCTCCTCCTCCTCCTCCTCCTCCTCCTCCTCCTCCCGAGAGGGGCGGCGCGCCATCTTCAGCCCGAAGCTCAGTGCGATGGCGATGCCGCACCCCATGCCGAAACCTAGTGTGTCCTGCGGCGGAAGTTTTCTGTCGGGCGTGTCCCCCTGCAGGGGGATGTTCGACGAAAAATAAAAAATCCCCCAAAAGGTATGAAAATACTCAAAAGATAGTCTCCAGACTATGTTTGAATTATTTGTTGACCATTTTTGGGGTATGTTCTATTTCTCGTCGACAATACCCCTGTAAGGGGACAGGCCCGACTGAACGGAATTTGGGGGGTCTACAAAGGACGTACGCGCCCAGCTATGTACCTGAACGCGGCCCCTTGATCCGCGAGACTGGCCGCGTGATGCGAACATTCTCGCCATGCGTACTCTCGAAACCAGCGTGGATTCATGTACGTGTACGTCCTTCTTTCGCTCCTGAGAAGTGTAAGACGAGGCCAGGACGAGGATGACATCGGGGGAAGATTGATCGAGAATCCCTGAGATCCGGCGGCTCTGGAAGTTGTCTCGGGCGCCGCGGCCTTCTCAGAGCGTTCCGGGACGCTCTGAGAGCGTTCCGCACCGCTCTGGAACGGATGTATCCTCGTCCTGGCCCCGTCCGAGAATTGTGCATCTTCCAGCTCCTCCGCCTCTGGTCACTCCCGCTCCACCCAAGTCTCCCTCCTCAGATTCCCCCTCCGCCTTCTCCTCCCTCCTCCTCTTGGCCGCGCAAAAGGGGGTATTGGGGGCGACGATGGGGGCGAATAGCCCAGGGGAGCGCAATGCATGTATCCAGGGGCGCCGATGGTCCATGCCTTCGGCGAGGCTCCAGGGCGAATACGTGTGATGTCCGCCCCTGGGCTCTTCGCCCCCATCGTCGCCTCCGAGGGGTAGGGGGAGGGAGGAAGGCTTCTTAGAAGAAGGATGCTTCTTGGAAGGCGCTGGCCCTACACCTCCACCTTCTTAGAAGCAGGGTTGCTTCTAAGAAGCCTTCCCCCTCACCCTACCCCCCGCTTCGCGTGGCCGATCCTCAGCCTGCCCTTGGCGTTCGAGGGATCTCGCAGCTCGAAAGGCTTCGAGGCAGAGATGAGTCGGGAACAGACGGAGCACGAGCCTGCTTTAGGTCGGGCGTGTCCTCCTACAGGCGGAAATAGTCGAACACATCCAAAAATAGTGCAACATAGTAACACGAAATCGTCCCCATGTTATGTTTTCGGCTATTTTAAATATATTCGTCCTGTAGAGAAACACGCCCGACTTAGAGCCTGTCCCAAGACCAAACGGGGCATCGACCACCTCCAAACTGCTGATCACGAGCTCGAGCATATGCAGGGTTACAATGTCGGTCTGATGCTGCCTCAAAGTCGCCTCGAAAACACAACTGCAGCGCCCGTACGAGATCACGGTGGACTAGATGAGTATGAATCTGGTGTATCCTCTCCTCCTTCTGCCTTAGCTCCTCCTCCTCCGCTCCCTACCCCGCCACACCCCTACTCCTGGACATGTCTGGATCATCCGTCTCTTACTTTGCGAGTGCTTGGGCGATGGCGACGACGACGGCAACGAGGAGCACGAGGGCAACGAGGAGCGCGAGGGAGGAAGAGGGTTAGTTGGAGGTAAGAGGGGCAGGACGAAGAGCCATATGATGATGCGGAGGAGAGGACGAGGAGGCGATGAGAGGACGAAGAGCACGCGGAACACGGGTATCGTAAAAAGAGGAGGGCGACCACGCCGAGGAGAACAAGATGAAGATGATCATTATCCTCGTCCTACTCTTCTTCCTCGTCCTACCTCCTCCCACCCTCCCTCCCTTCCTCCTCTATCCTCCCTCTCTGCAACCCTTCTTCTGCTCCTCCAGCAACCCCAAAGGTCTCGGAACCGCGGCTCCCCTACGAGTTGCTGTCAATCGCTGTTTCCCCGTCTTCCTTCACCATTATGCTACCCTGGCTTTCCTGAGCTATCTCAACTGTTCCCTCTACCCATTGGAGCCCTTCGGGGCTGACAAGGGTTAGGCCTATCGGCCCCGACCCAGCGGCACCGAACGTTACGATTAGGTCGGGCATCCCTACAAGCGGATTTGGGGCGAACATTAGAATTAGTCAACAAATACTAGAAATATTCAAAGTTGGTAGAAACATCGTGCCCATATTATGTATTACTACGCTTGAGTACTCCTCCTGTAGAGGGACACGCCCGACTTAGCGTTACGAGTGCCCCACAGTATCGTTTGCAGCATTCGGAACAATGTCGGTTGCTGTAGATACAGCTCCAGTTGCACCAAATCACAAAAGCATATTGTAACATTCGTTTTGGTGTGGCACCCGTTTCGCTGTGCTCACTCGTTTATGCATATCTATATATATATATATATATATATATATATATATATATTTGGGGGGTGAGATCGAAGTGGAACGGAGAGCCCCCCTACCGGGAAATCGATTTCGGTTTCGTGTTCGTGCGTGCCGTGCGGGCGAGGCGAAGCTGCGTGGGCGGGCGAGAGAAAGTCTCCTGTGGCTGAGGCGCGGCCGGACCCAATGACTCCCTTCCGGGCGGCCGGGGCCCCGCGGTGTCCCGCCGGTGTCCCGCTGGTGTCCCGTGTGGCTGAGGCGCGGCCGGACCCAATGATTCCCTTCCGGGCGGCCGGGGCCCCGCGGTGTCCCGCCGGTGTCCCGCGGTGTCCCGCGGTGTCCCGCGGTGTCCCGCAGTGTCCCGCGGTGTCCCGCCGGAATCCCGCGGTGTCCCGCGAGGATGATGATGATGATGAGATGATGATTGATGATGATGATGATGATGCTGCTGCTGCTGCTGATGATGATGATGATGATAATGATGAGATGATGATGATGATGATGATGATGATGATGATGATGATGATGATGATGATGATGATGATGATGTCCCGATGAAGATGATGATGTTGATGATGGTGTCGATGATGATGATAGTGTCCCGATGATGAGGATGATGATGCTCATGATGATTATGTTGATGATGATGACGATGATGGTGTCCCGATGATGATGATGATGATGATGATGATGATGATGATGATGATCCGATGATGTTGGTGATGATGATGTTGATGGAACTGGTGTCCCGGCGATAATGATGTTGATGATGATGATGTTGATGATGATTATGGTGTCCCGATGACGATGCTGATGATGATGATTATGGTGATGATGATGATGGTGATGCTGATGGTGTCTCGATGATGATAACAATGATAATGACGATGTTGATGATGATGTTGCTCATGATGATGAAGGTGCCCCAATGATGATGTTGTTGATGATGATGCGATAATCATGATGATGATGGTGTCCCGAGGATGATGACGATGTTGATGATAATGTTGATGATGAGAACGATGGTGATCATGATGGTGTCCCGATTATGATGATGATTCTGATGATGCTGCTGATGATGACGATGACTGTGCCGCGATGATGATGATGTTGATAATGAGATGATGATGGTGATGGTGATGATGATGTTGTCCCGATGATGGTGCTGACGTTGATGATGATGTTTATGATGATGATGACTGTGCCCTCATGATGATGACGATGTTGGTGATGATGTTGATGTTGATGATGTTGATGATGATGATGACGTTGATTATGAAAGCGATTGTGATATCGATAGTGAGATCGATATTGAGACCGAATGTGAGATCGATTGTGTGATCGATTGTGAGATCGATTGTGAGATCAATTGTGAGATCGATCGAATGAGATAGATCGAGTGAGATCGATCAAGTGAGATCGATCGAGCGAGACCGATAGTGAGATCGATACTGAGATCGATAGTGAGACCGATTGAGTGAGACGTTGGTTCCCCCCCCCCCGAACCTCCTTATCACCCGAAGGGTGGTCGTATAGGTATATATATATATATATAAATGCGTCACTACTTTCTCTAACTCTCTCTCTCTCTCACTCCCGCTGCTGACTCCTCTCGTCGCTTCCTCCCTACCTCTCTCTTCGCTTCCTCCATCTCTCTCTCTCTCCCTCTCTCTCTCTCGCTCCCTCTTCGGGGTATATGTCCCTCTACATACTTTTCTTCGGTATGCCTTTGTGTTGGTTTCTTTTCACGCTGTATCTCTCTATAGATATACAGGCACATGCAAGTACACACATACCCTTACGAACATACATCACCGTACACATGCCGTTATACACATCCGGGTGTATCGGTGTCTAACTCTCGTACTCGCTCTCGATGTCTCCTGTGCACCGATATGTGTATGTGTGTATGTGTGTCTGGACCCCTATCACACTGTCACTACACATACATGTACGTACACGCATGTGTGCTATGGCATAGCTATGCAAACAATGCCATTTCCCTTACCGTACACAAAACTAACTGCGCTCGAAATCGGTTGGCATGACTGTACGTACATGTGCACTTGTATGCCACATACACATATATATATATATACTAGAACCACGCGCGCGTCGCGCACGCTTAGGTTCTAGTCGACCCCATCCCTTGAGGAGGTCCCGTATCCACTGAAGTGATTACCCATTGATGGTGTAAGCATGCGGTACAAGAAGCATCCATAATGCTGGCCGAACAGAACCCAAGCACCGACAATGACATATGCTCCTTAATCCGCCGACCCTGTCGGCGTAAGTGAGGCGCTCTTCCGTTTGTCGTCGTCGGTGTCGTCGTCGACGTCGCCGTCGTCGTTGTCGTCGTCGTCGTCCTCGCCATCTTCCCCCTTTCCCCGGGCCCTCTTCCTCAACCTATCCAGCCAATACGAAATCGAATCGAACAACGAAGGGAAGCACCTTCCCTTGATCCCTTCCGCAGCGGGGGGGGGGTCCCGGGGCAACTCCCGGGGGTTGGTCCCGCCGGGTGGTCAGGGGGGGTCGTCCTGGGGGGTGGTCCCGGGGGGTGCCCTGGGGGCCGTGGGGCTCCTGTTATTGTTGTGCCGATCCCGAATATGTGGCGGAGGGTCCCCGGGACCCCCCCAAGAACCGGGGGGAGAGAGCCTCTCCTCCCTTCCCCCCAGCGTCCCCGCTTTGCTCCCCCTTCCAAGCGTTCCATGCTCCCCCTGTCCAGGAGGGAGCCCCCCCCCACGGGCCAGTCCCCCCCTCCACAGGGGGGAGCAACCCCCCTTGGTCGTCGTCGTCGTCGTCGTCGTCGCCGCCGCCGCCGTCGTCGTTCAGGGTCGGCGGCACCGGCAGTAAGGCCTCTCCAGTATTCAATTCGAAGCTATGCAAGTCAGTTTAGCCAAACACATGCAAGGCTATGAATGCAATGCAAAGAAAAGGAAAGCGATGCTCATAAGTGCAATGTGGATCACGAAACAACGCAATTGCACATGCAACGGAAAGCAGCCCAGTGGAATGCAATGCAATACAATGCACTATAAGACAAAAGACCGAGAGAGTCCGAGGCGTCACGGAACTCAGAGATCCCAGGGACGAGCCCCCTGGTTCTCCGAGAGAGGCTAAGGGGGGCCCAAGCGTGGCCCCGAAAGAGCTCCAAGCAGGCTCCAGAACGAAGCACAGGAGGGCCCCAAGAGGCGCCCCAAGAAAGCCCGAAGATAACGACAGAAAGACAGGGTCCAAGGAAGTGCCTCCTCAGCGCGGCAAAAAAATGCAGAGGCCCACAATGAGCCCCAAGAAGGGCGTTCTCAACAGCCCCATCCCTTGCGAAGGTCACAGCTCCACTGAAGCAGTGACCCACAACTGGCTTGAGCTCGAGGTAAAAAAAGTACCGATCATGCAGATGGAAGCGAGACCTACGGCCCCAGATGAAGGCGGGGTTCACATGGCGCCCCCCCCTCAATTTCAGCACGGCACTCACACGGATCTTGTCCCCCTGGGAGCTCCTCTTTCGGGTCCAGGGACAAAATTCACACGGCGTCGCTCCGCCCATCTCGGCACACCCAACACACGACTCGTGCCCCAGAGGGATGTCGTTTCACGTACGGCCTTAGTGTGGGGATTCGCATACCGTCACGTCCCCCCCCACGCGTATGTCGCCTGTCTCCTCACACGAATCGTATCAACAGGGAGCTCCACCGACGGTTCCAGAGCCAACGTTCGCATCCCGCCGCCCCGCCCATGGCAGTAAATACACCCCTGACCTGGATCGTGGGTTCGGGGCGTCTTGGGTGCTTCTGTGGGCCACGCGGCATGTTTCTGTGAGGCCTCTGAAGCCCTGAGATAGATCGTGAATCGGGAGCCTTTTGAAGCCTTTTCTGGGAGCCTCGTGCAGGACGTCGAAGCGAGACCTCCCATACGCTTACGGGTGACTACTGGGAAGCCTCCTGGGACCGTTTTGGGAGCGTTTTGGGGGAATCTCTGGGGGCCTCTTGGGACCTTCTTGGGGGTCCTTTTGGGGCTCTTTGGGGCTCTTTGGGGCACTCTTGGCCCGTCCAGGGGCCCACTTGGACCGTCTTGAGCGCTTGGGCCGTCTTGGGGCCCTCTTGGGGCCCTCTTGGGCCGTCGAGGGTGCCTCCTGTGGCCCTCTTGGGGCTCCCTGGTCACTCTTTTGGGAACCTCTGGGGACCGTCGTGGGCCGTCGGGGGGCTCTCATGGGCCGTGTTGGAGCTCTCTTGGGCCGTCTTGGGGCCCTCTTGGGGGCCTCTAGGATCGTCTTACAGCCGTCTTTGGGGCCTTTGTCCGTCTTGGGCGCTGTTAGGACCGAAGAATCGAATATGCTAAAAACGTACATTTCCAGAAAGGAATTTGGCTGTTTTTGCCTGTTGGTGACCTTCTGGGAGGCCTCTTGGGCCGTCTTGAGGGCCTCTGAGGCCAAAAATATAGATTTCCCCGCTGGTTTGTGAAAGATTCGATTTCTCGAGGACCTTTTCGGAAGCTTCTCGGGCACCCTTGGTGGCCTCCTGGGCCGTCTTGGAGCGCTCTTGGGGTCCTCTTGGTGCGTCTTGGAGAACTCTTGGGCCATCTGTAAACAATCTTGGGCGGATTTAGGGCTGCTCTGAGCCTCGGGGGCGGGTCCCGGAGGGCTCCTGGGAGGGGGCACTACCTATGTACAAGGGGGGGGGGCCCTGCGGGTCCCCAGGGTCGGAATCCCTTATATATAGTGTATATATATATATATGTATGATAAACACGTTTACATACATTCACAACTACACATATACATAGATTTACACATGCACACATATAAATGAACGTGTGTCTGTATGTGTCCGCCACCGTGCCTCTGGGCACGGAGTGGGCGTGCCCTCAGGCACTTCGCCTAATCCTCTTGGCCTCAATCCTCACTCCAGAGGAGTCTGGGACAGGTCAGGGCCGCCCAAGACCGCCTGGGGCTCCCATGCCATCCCCGGGCAGCTGCTTGGCACCTGGGATCGGACGTCGCTATCGGGCCAGTCGTGGACTCTGGGCGGCCTCTTGGCAACCCTTAGGAGGAAACTTCGAATGTCTGCCACTTCCCTCTGCATCCTGCCTTCTATCTCCTTTCCCTCCCCTCTTGCCGCCCGTTATCCTTCTTCTCCTCTCGATTCTATCGGTGTTCCCAGGAAGGCGTCTGCTCAATGATTTTGGCCTTTGGGCTGGCCTCCCTAGCCTACAGGACGGCCCCAAATTGCTCCACGAGGACTCAAAACGCAGCTTTGGGACAGGCGCCTTCTGCAGAAAGCCTGGGAAACTCATCGCCAACGCGCCCAAAATGCCGTCAGATGTCAGATGGCCTCCAATATGGCCCAGGATGGCGCCTGATGGCCTCTATGGCGCGTCAAGATAACCACAAGATGGCCAGCAGAGGTTCAGGAGGCTCTCTCGGGATCTCACGGGCCGTGTGGTGGGCCCTGGCCAGTCGCTTGCATACATGTCACGTCCGTGCGTCTTATCACTCTCATCGCAGCCTACAAACAGGACCGCGTTGGCTCCAACGCAGCAGTGCAAGTTTGGAGCTGGCGCTGGCGATGGTGACGGAGCCCTCGTCGGGCTCTGGTGGCCTCCTCCTCCATCTCCTCCTCCTCCTCCTCCTCCTTCTCCTCCTCCTCCTCCTCCTCCTCCTCCTCCTCCTCCCTCATCGATCGCTCGCTCGCTCATCCTCCTCCTCCCTCCTCATTGCACCGGCCTTGCAGACGTGCTGCAGCGGATTTCTGCGTGGATTTGCCCCGAAACGGCGAGCGAAAAACCAAGTGAATTTCGCGTGGGTTCTTTTTGGTCCTCATTTCTGGCCAAAACAAATCCGCACGAAATTCGCCTCGAAATCGGAGACGAAATTCTCCGGGACACTCCGGGCCCATCCTATCGCTCTCCGAACGAAATCCGCTCCGCGATGTTGGCGCTATGATCCCTCCCTCCCCTCGAGGCCGCAAGCTGCGAGCGGGATGGCCCCTGCCCTGTCCACGCCCCGGGCTCCCCCCTCCTCCTGCGCCTCCCCCCAGGGCCGGCTGCCGGCAGGGAGGACGAGGTGGAGGAGCGAGAAGAAGAGGGAAAGACCAAGGCGTTGAAACGGTCCTGCTTGCCTCCAAGGGCCTCTGGAGGCCTCTGAGGGCATCCAAGGACCTCTTGAGGCCCAGCCCATCCCCCCTCTGCTCCCCCCCTCCGGACGCAAAGCAGCAACACCTGCACCAGCATCGTGCAAGCCGATCGCGATTCGGAGGAGGAGGAGGAGGAGGAGGAGGAGGAGGAGGCGAGGAGGAGGAGGAGGAGGAGGAGGAGGAGGAGGAGGATGGTCACGTGTCCCCAGCCGCTGAATTATCCTCGATGTCCTCTTCGATTCCTCTCCCCTCCCCTCCCTCCCATTCCCTCCCCTCCCATCCTCTTCTCGTGCCCCTCTCCCCTCCTCCTCCTCCCCTCCTCCTCTCCTCCTCTCCTCATCCTCCTCCTCCTCTTCCTCCTCCCCCCCCTCCTCCTCCTCCTCCTCCTCTCCTCCTCCTCCTCCTCCTCCTCCTCCTATCTCCTCTCCTCCTCCTCCCCCCTCCCCCTCTCCCACTCCTCCTCCTCCCTCCATCCTCTCTGTCCCGCCTTTCTCCGCAAGGCTCCCTCGCCCTGCCCTCCCGCCCTCACTCTCCCGTCTCCCCTCCCCCCCATCCTCTCCCCTCTGAAGGGGCCCAGGAACACGCAAACAAATACACACACAAATCACAGGATCCCCCACATGTTCAACTATGTTCTCGGTTTTCGTCTTCCCCCCCCTCTCCTCCTGTATTTTCCCACATCTTCTAGGAACCGACGATTACTTGTCTGTTTTCTGTGTGTGTGTGTGTCCCTTCTTACCCTCAGGCCCCCCATCTGCAGCCGTGGAGGCCCCCATCCAATTCTGGGACGGATGGCAGCCTGGGCTGGGCCCCCTATCCCCTGCCTCGCCCCTTGCCAAGCTCCCTCCCTCCCCTGCCTGCCCCCCCCCTCCCCTGCACTGCCTCCCCGCGTGCCTCCTCGTGCACGCCTTCTCCCTCCCCGACGCCCTACCCTCCTCTGCTCGTCCCCTGCCACGCCTGTCCCCCGACGGCCCTTGCCTCCCTGACCTCCCTCCTCGCGCTCCCTTCGCCCCTCCTGTCCCTCCCCTCCTTCCCCTTACCTGCCTCCCCCTTGCCTCCCTTCCGTGCTTCCCCTGCCTGTCTCCATCCCTCCGTGCATCCTTCCACTGCCTCCCCCTTGCTGCTACCCTCAACTCGGGCCTGTCCTCCTGCAGGGGGATTCTCGGCGACAAAAATGGAGATACAAGAAAGTATCACCAGATGGTCAAAACTAGTCAACCAGTCGTGCCCAGACTATGTTTTAAAACTGCTTTTGCAGATTCCTCCTGTAGGGGGACAGGCCCGACTTGATTATATCCTCTCGCTCCCCTCGCTCTCTCCCGAAGAGCAACATGCAGACAGAGGATCTCGGCGGGGCAGCGGGCCCGCCTTGTTCTGCTCGTTGTTTGCGTGCGACGCCACCTGCGCTGCTCCGAAGTGGAACTGCTCAAACAGGCGCTAAAGGATAAGAGAGAGGAACGGGAGGAGGGGGATAGACCAGAGCGAGGGGGCCGAGCGGTCAATCATTGTCCATGGGTGGCTGGAATTTGATGTCGTGGCCCGGACGCGTTGTGGTTTCTCATTTCTGCAAAACAAAATGTTGTTGACCCCCCTGCCCGGTAACCGTTGCATGTTTCCATCGAAGTGTTCCTCCCAGAGCTCGCACCTTGTTGTTTACAAGGGAACATGACATGCCACCAAATTGTGTAGGCCCCCAATTTACAACAACAACAACGGCTCTCGCCTGACACGTCCCCACAAGTTATTCCCAAATCGCGCTCTTGCGCGGGACTTTCTCACAATGTATACAAGAATCGCGCTCTCGCGAGGGACTTCCTCGCAAGTTGTTCAGACGCTGCGCCCTCGACACTCAGGAATCACGCTCTCGCTGTGGACTTCTCACGATGTATTTGGGAATCGCGCTGTAGCTTGAGACCTCCTCACGATTCACGCAGGACGCAAACTTCAGCAACCCGCATGCTCGACCTGGCCGCCTGGGCCCGACTTCTTGACCCGCCTGTTAGGATCTGCCCGCCCGATCTGCACGTATGGGTCTGCCACATGTTTTCTGGTTCTAGCCCCCCTGCTACTCTCTGTCGTGTTCCATCATCCTCCCTTCCCATTGTCCCTTCCTCCCATCCATCCTCTCTTCCCATGCCTTAGGAGCTGCGAAATACACGTTGCAGGTAAGAACGATATACTCCTAATGGGGGTACGATCGAGGACGAAGAGGGTGGGAATCAAAGGTTTGTGATATACGTTTTGACTGGCACGCGGGCAGGTAACAAAACAATCTTAAAATGGTTGTGGTTGTTGTTGTTGCTGTTGTGTACTGTTGTCGTCGTCCTCGCCCGCGACCCGCCCGCGGCCCACCCCGCGACCCGACCCGCGACCCACGCCGCGCCCGCCCCCTCACTGCTATCCACAACTGCGAGGGGGTGCCACGTGTGAGAAACATGGCAATGGCTGGGCGGAGGGGGGAGCAGAACGACTCGCTGTCCAGGGATGCGCAGGACCCGCATGGTGCAAAACGCCTGTCGGTCCTCCTCCTCCCCCTCGGCACTCACATCACACACTGGGCATCATCCTCCGCGCGTCCTCCGCCACGCCCACCAACCCCCCTCCTGCCCGCGGCCCTTCTCCTCCCAACCACTCCGTTCCATTCTCTGCCACCAGCTCGTCTATCTTCTCAGAGCGCGCTCCTCTTTGCTTTGCCATCACCGACTCGTGCTCGGCCTCCTCTACCTCGCTGTCCTAACACTGTCTTCAAATGTCATGATTCGTATTGTCCTACACTCCTCGCTCTCCTGAAGAGGTGGCTTCTCCACCACGATGCCAGTGAAGAGGTAGACAGCGATGCCAGGCACGGGCGGCGCCAAGAACATCATGGCACCCACCTCTCCACTGCGCCATGCGAAGCGGACGGAGTGGGAAGCCATGGAACTATGATGGGGACGTCGGGCATGAGCTGGTGCATACGAGTGCTGCATGGACCAGCTTTTGATACATCGACTGTCAGAAATACGCATGAGGCTGTCATGCTGTTGGCACGGTTCATGCGCTCCCCAACAGAAACCCTTGAGACACCCTGACTGGCAAGCACACGAAGCGGAACTTCGGCGTGGGTTTAGCTTGAGCGAAGGGGCGTGTGGGGCACAGCCATGTCTCCGAAATCTGGCGGCAAGAGGTGCCAACGAGAACATGCTGGTGATTTAGGAAGGGCGAGACCAGGTGCAACTTGCCCGCCTTTCTAATCAATTGGGGCACATTCGGGGAGTGGCGAAGAACTTAATCGCCGCGGGAAGCTCGAGGAGCTTGAGAAGGAGTCGACCCCACTCCGGAAAGCCCGCTCAGGAATCTGGATCACTTGGCATACGTAAGACCCAAGTGCACGCAAACTAATCCTCAACGCATGTTTTCCCGCTCGAAGCAGTGGGTGTACCGCGATCCCCACAAGCCCGAGTGCACTCCGTGAGAAGAGTGGCCAGATCTGGCTCGAAAGTGGCAGCCTCCAGGGCTGAAGCTTGTCTTCGGCGGTACACACGTGCGACACAAACTCGGACGAGGGTCATAAGTCAGGAATGTCTGAAAGCTGGCGACTCCGCAGGATGTCATACAGTCGGATCTAGGACATAATCCGCCAGCGTCCTTGCGGGGCCATTAGGCTGCGAAGATTGGGCTTGCAGCTCCCCGTGCAAATAGCAGTTTCCAGTTTCCACCGTTACAGTCCTGCTTCTTCCTTACTATTCATTGTTGCTGAACGCGCGACGGGGGGGGAGCCGAAAAGCGTCCTGGCTAGCGTCCCCGAATCGCGTTGCCTGAATTCCTGGGGGGTCCTGGGACACGTAAAGATACATGAGACTCGCGAGCCCGAGGCTATAATCCGTAGTATATTGCATCATACTCGCGTCCCCGAGACCATAAACCGTAGTACATTGCATCATACTCGCGTCCCCGAAGCCATATAGCCTAGGAACTTATACAATATGATCGCCCCCGAAACCAAACACCCTCGTAAATTATGTTGTATTCGCGCCTCCGAAACTATAAATCTTGGTGAATTAACTTGTAGTTTCGCCCCCGAAGCCATACACCCTCGTAACTTACCCCATGCTTGCGTCCCCGAGGCCACAACCCCTCGCAAAGTATACAAGATTCGCGTCCCCGAGGTCATACACCTTTGTAGATAACTCAATATTCGCGTCCCCGAAGCCATACACAATCGTAAACGATGCAACATGTGCGTCCCCGAGGCCACACACCCATGTAAATGACGCAATGCTCGCGTCCCCGAAGCCATACACATTAGTAAATGATTCAACAGTTTCGCGACCGAAGCCATAAACCCTTGTAAATTAATATTGGCCCTCGCGTGAAGTCCCGACATAGCTTCACGTCAGCGCCCAGACATCCCAACACAGCTCTGGCAAGTCCCATTCTAAGAGGTGGGCCAGCGGCATGGGGGCGAAGCCCTTACGGATAACATCCTTCAAGACAATGAGAACCTCTGTCGGCCAAAGCACACAGAACATCCAAGGGCACCCTACCCAGGATGCTCAAAAACATCGAACAAGCACGAAGAACAGCAGGGCACCCTCCCCGACCCGACCTCGATCTTATACATCGGTCCGACGGTAGGCCCCTTTCTGATGCCCGATTAAGGGAGGGCTCTCTGCGTCGTCTTGGTCGGGCCGTCCTGCTGCTTGCGCCCACGGAGGACAAGAGTACATCTTTTGACCGATCACCACCCCCGCTGGCATGGCCTCAGCCCCACTGGCCGACCTCCCCCCATCCCTCCATGCTTATCCCTTCAGATTTCGCGGGACCTGTCCGCGCTTGGGGCGGACCTGGTGGGGCTGGGATACCATATGGCTCTGCGGTGATGGGGACCGTTTAGGCGGTGCCGAGGCCAAAGGCTTGCATCGTACTGGGACCTGAGCCTTGCATCTTGGGAGTCGCGCGTGGCCAAGAACAGCAGCAGCTAGGAGCGTACAACCAGCAGCGCTGTCGTTCCTGGACCCTTCCTCCACATTGCCATGACCCGAAGAGGGTCTCGAACGGGACCTGTAACCAGGGCCATTTCCTGGGGACTGGCTTCTGAATAGCTTTTCCCGACAGCCCCAGGCTCCGAAAAGCGAGAAACTGCGGAACAGACTCGGGATCGAAAATGGAAACGGTTAGACAACGGCAACCGGACACGGCGGGCAAACGGCTCCGGCACTGGAACCGGAACCGGCAACGAAAACGGAAGAGCGGAACCAACACGAACACGGCCCTGCCATTTCCAAGGCCCGCAAAGCATCAGGACCCCCCGATCTCTGATCCCTCGTGGCGATCAGGAGCGGAGGAGGAGGAGGGGGGAGGAGGAGGAGGAGGAGGAGGAGGAGGAGGAGGAGGAGGAAGAGGAGGAGGAGCTCGGCATGATCAGCCGGCCCCGGGGCGATGGCCCAGGGCCTCTGGGGGGCGACGGCTCTGCAAGAGCCATCACGTCGGCGGTCTGGCTCAGCCTCCCTCCTCGGTGCGGATGTCTGGAATCAGCCAAAACACGACATCGCTAAAACCGTTCGGGTCGAGCCCTGGCGAGGAGGGGCGGGCCTTCTCAGAGGGCTCGGAAGTCCCCCAGCCTTCCGAGCATCACGAATCACGAAGAGAATCCTGGAGGCCTCACGCGGCAGCTTGACAAACCCAGTGTACGTTTGATGCACGTCGGATGCACGTCGATGTCCGTCGGACTTACGACAGAACATCGCCACGTGAACGTCGACCCATCTCTTACGGAGGGGGCATGTGGCGTAGATAATTCGACTATCACGTGCCCCGCGAGGCCTACAGGATTTACCTCATAACACCACGATGGGCGATGGGAGGAGGGCCCTGGATTCAGGATGCATCCAGGAAGACGGGGAGGAAGGATCCTGGATGCGTCCCGTCCGGTCAGGGTTCTGGATGCCAAGATGTCAACGGCAAACAGGCGCGCGGCCATCTAGGATCACTGCTGGAACCCTATCCTGTCCTTCCTCCCTCATGTCTTTCTCATACTTTCCTCTCCACCGCTTCCTGCTCCTCTCCCCACCTTGCCCTACTCTCACACTGCCTCCTCATCCTCCTCCCCTCCTCCTCCTCCTCTCATCCCTTTTCCCTGAACGTCTACATTGGGTGTAGAACAATCTATACTCGTGGTGTGCAAACGCAACCCAGGTTGTGAGATGAAGACTACGGTAAACTGCTGCAAGACTTATTATTAAGGTCCGCTCGGAGCCGCCACAAAGATGATCGCCAGGACCGTGAAGAAAGAGACCGCAACGAGCTCCGTATTCAGCCTGTTCCGCACGGGAGGGAGAACACGCGCAGCGCAAGAGGGAGGTGAAAGGGGCTGGGCGGAGAGCTGGGTGAGGTTGGGCGGGAGAGGGACACAATACAAACATAAAGTTGGAGCGGGTACCATAGATCAACATGTGAGGTCCAATCATAACCTCACCCTCGGTGAGCGACGGGTGCATGAATAGATGAGGGCCACAATCTCTTCGTACCTGAGGTTCACAGAAACTCACCTTCGGTGAAAGATGGGCGCGCACGTCCAAATCATTCCACAACCATCGCGCACCCACCAACTCTTTCAAGTAATGCCATGCGGGCGGCACGCGCGCACCCCCGCGCGCACATGTCGATGCCATTGCAAGTTTGGTATGTTAAGCTTGTCATAGTCCTCCCATCATACCACGTCAACTGTCTGAACGCTCACGTCGTCATCATCAACAACAATAACACCATCACCACCACCATCACCATCATCATCAACATCGTCATTATCAACATCATCATCATCATCATCATCATCATCATCATCATCATCATCACCACCATCATCTGCAACAACAACGTCAATACAACCGGCATATCACCCATCCGTATGCATCACCAACACCGAAATAGTCATCACCACTATCATCACCACCACCATCATCACCTCCGTCACCATCACAGTCACCATCATTATCACCATCAGCATCATCGTCGTCGTGATCATCATCATACTCACCACCACCACACCACCATCATCACCATCACCATCATCAGCACCATCATCATATCAGACATCGCCATCGCCATCATCATCGCCATCACGATGGCCATTATGATCACCATCGGAAACATCAGCATCATAAGCATTATCATCAAATCTTCATCATCGCCACCGTCGTCGTCGCTGATGCCGTCGGCGCCGGTTGAGACTTGCAAGCATGTCCCAACATGTAACTGTACGCACGGCCTCTTGAAGTTCGCCAACCATTTGCGAATGGAGGACCTGGGATGCATTCCTGTGCGAGCACGAGAACCGATCATGTGCGGACGCCCCCAATTGAATTCCCCATCCTAAGAAGGATGCCCCCACCGAGGCTGAGGTTATCCGCCATCCTGCGTTTGATTTCTGTTTGCTGTTCGCATGTGAATGTCTAGTCGTCCGTTTTGTGTGAATATACATGTAGTTAGTATGTATATATATATATATATATATATATATATATATATATATATATAAAAAATGTGTATATGTATATATGTGCAAAAATAAAAGGCACACCAGTCGACGAGGACACAAACCATTGAGTTTACGCAGGTGTTGGGCCTATGTTGGCATCCTGGGGGGGGGATGGCGCCCGCCCCGTTCGTTGATCGGGCCCTTGCAACCGCAGCGCTACCAAGAGTGCTCCACGACGGCCCCATAGGGGCCGCCTCACGACGTCCCAAGAGACCCCGAGGCGGCCCAAGGGGGCCCCAAAACGGTCCCAGAAGGAGCCCAAGAGAAGGAACACGCACCGAAGATAAGAACCTTCCGCCCCGAAAGGTTCCAAAAGGCGCCTAGGAGGGCCCGAAACGCCTCCCAACGTGCCCGCAAAATGCCCCAAGCACCCCCCCAAACAAAAAGAGACCCCATGAGGCACCAACACGGCCCTCCTAAGAGGCCTCCAAACTGCGTCCAAGAAACGCCCGGACATCCCCCCCACGACCTCCCAAAGAACATCCACTAGGCATCGAACCCACAACCCAAGCACGGTGGCGGGATGGGCCAAAGGCCATTCAGCAAGCAATCCATACACCATGGGCCTTTGCTGGGGGATCCTTTACGCTGCGCGCGCAACGCGAAGGAAAGAGAGAGAGAGAGAGAGAGAGAAGGCGAGACACAGAGAAGGAACAATGCATTACGGCAAAAACAAAAGTACAAAACTAATTAAAATGGGGAGGGTAGAACCATAGAAATATACACCTGAAGAGAAACAGAGAGAGAGAGAGATAACGTTACATAGAGAGAGAGAGAGAGAGAAACAAAAAACAAAAAAAAAACGGGAAAAGTCGAACTATAAAAACATACAGAATTACATACGCATATACACGTATATTATATGACAACATAAACAACATACACAAAAGGCAACCGTTTCCCCTGTTACGTCACCCCTTCTGTGTTGCGTGGTATGCTTGAACGTGAGATGGCAATCACTTCCTGCCCCCACCCCCGCCACCCCCACCCCACCACGCGTCGCGCGCGCAGTGTATGAGAAAAAAGGGGCAGAGAGAGAGGGGGAGAGAACAAGAGCGAGAGAGATGTAACAACGCACCCAGAGAGAGAGAGAGAGAGAGAAAGAAAAAGAGAGAGAGAGAGAGAAACAAAAAAAAACAGTAAAGAATGACAGACAAAGAAAGAGAGAGAGGAAACACATGCGGGAAGGAAGCAACATGGAGAAGGATACAGTGAGAGAGGGAGAGGGAGAGAAAGAGAGAGAGAGAGAGAAAGAGACAACGATCATGAGAGAAAGGGGAAATTAGAAACAACGAGGGAGAGAAAAGAGAGAAATAGAGAGAGAGAGAGGGAGAGAAAGGGAGAGACAGAGAGAGTACCCCCTTCGTCGGCGGGCCGCCCTTTGGCAGGGGCGGCGGGATACGCCGATGCCCGAAGAAAAAGAACGATCCACATGTGGTAGCGGGGTCGATTGGTAGGCAATGGGACTGGCAAGTAAGGGACATCGCGGGGCAGATATTCCCGGAGAGCTCCTTGGAGAGCTAAGAAGGTTGTTATGTAAGAAGCAGGGGGGCAGGGTTGAGCCGGCGCCTCTCCGCGGATCCCGGGCAGGCGCCCCCGGAGCTACCCGCTTGAAGTCGCAGCGGGCCCCGAGAAGTGTCTCCCCACTCGTTCCCAGCGCGCGCCCCTGAAGCCCCCCCGCAGCTCCCTCGCGGCCCCCTCGAAGTTCCTTCGGAGCTTGCTGTTCGAAGTTCGCAAGTTCCCCGCGCGCGCGGTCCAGCGCCCCGGCAAGCGTCTACCCCGATAATTCTCCATGCTCTGCAAGCTCACCAGGCATGCTGTCCAGCGCCCTGGCAAGCGTCTCCCTCAAGCGTTTTTCCGCGCATTGGATTTCGCCGATATCCGGGTTTTCAGCAGCGCAAGTAGACTGCGCTAGTAGACCCCGTAAGTGCAAGGCTGCGAAAAGAGCTTCGCAGGAGCTTCGAAGGACATGCTGAAAGGTTTTCGGCGCACGGATGACTCGTCGAGCTTCCCGTATACCGAAGCAGCGGAAACGAAGAGTACTGCGGGATCTTTCCTGGGCTGGCTGGCTCGAACAATCTCGACGGGCAAATAGATGACATTTGCCGAATGGGAAAATATGGTGGGATATGTTTGACCGTTCGTCCTAGGCATGGGTATGTTTCTGGACAACTTCGATTTTGCTCCTGTTCGCCATCTGGATATCAGGTCGACCGGAGCTTTTTGACAAAGGGGAAACTGACACGGCGGCATATCGCCCTGAGACCATATGTCTTGCGCGCTTGGCTTACGGACTGGATCTCGAGATCTAGGGCACGTACGAGCTCTTTAACACAGTAATTGATTCAGATGCCTCAGAAGGATTGGCCCAGACGCTCGAGAGGCCTGCGTTACCGAAACAAAAAATCCGCACTCTGTAACATGGTTTGGCACGCGCTGGGCTTGCGCACTTGATCTCAAGACCCAGAGCAGCTACAGATCTCTTAATCGCACCAACCGATTCATCAGCATCGCTTCGACAGCATTGGCCCAGGGCCTCGCGGGGCCTGAGTTCGGCCTCCTACTCGTGCTACGACCGAGGAAGCATCCCCATTATGCTGCATTTGTTCGGGTCACGTTCGGGTTGCGAACTTGATCCCGATATTCCGAGCAGCGACCGAGCTCTATGTCACGACAATCGAATCAGCAGCATCGAAAGCATTGGTCTAGAGTTCCGGGAGGCCTGAGATCGGTCTCCTACCCGAGCTACAACCGAACCACTACTCGCACTTTGCAACATTTGTTTTGCACGCGTCTAGTTTACGCACTTGGTCTCGAGACGTAGAGCAGCTGGAAAAAAGATCTTAGCGACAGCGAACGACTCAGCAGCATCGGAACCATTGGTCTAGAGCCTCGCGAAACCTCATGTCAGTGACCTACTCGAACTATGACCGAACAGCTATTCGGACTCTGTCACCGCTAACGCTGCCAGTAGGCAACATCTAGGTTCAGAGCAGTTACAGCGCTCTCGGTCGCACTGTCAGATTCGGTTGCCTCGAAGGCATTGGTCTAGAGCCTCGAGAGGCCTCAGATCAGTGTCCAAACCGAGCTACGACCCAGCAGCTATCCGCACTTTGCAATAGCTAATGATATCAATTTCAAAGCTCGAGAAGATGTAGAGCAGCTGCAGCAATCTCAGTCACACCTAGTGGTCTCAGCCTCGACGGCGCTGCTCTGGGATATCGAAAAGCCTGAGACCAGTTTTCCAGCGCCCTGGCATTCGTCGCGCAGAAGGATTTTCGTAGCTTGCAAGCGCCCCCCGCAGGCGTTCTAAGCGCGCGGGACTTTCCCCGCAAAGCTCCGTGGAGAGCTAGGAGGGCCCAGATAAGAAGCCGGCAGGCAGGGCTACGCCAGCTCCACCAAGGCTCCAGGACAGGCCCCCCCGGAGCGCATTGCATGAGGTTGCAGCGCGTTCTGGGGAGCGCTTTCCCGCTCGTTTCCAATTCGCGCGCCTGGGGTCTGTCCTCGGGTCATTTGGTCATTCGCAGCTCCCTCGAAGCTCCTCCGCTGCTTGCTTTTCGAAGCTTGCAGGCCCCCAGGCGCGCTTTCTTGCGCCCAGGCGAGCGTCTTCCCGACGCGTTTCCCGCGCCGGCGAGCTTCCCAGGCGCGCCCCCCTGCGTCTCCCAACGGCGTTTTGCGCGCTCGGACGACGTCGCAATTTCTAAATGAAGAAGCCAGAACCGCAAGGTAGCCCCGGAGGTCGTTCTGGCTTCCGTCTGGATGCCTCGGCGCGCCCCCTGCGACTTCGCAGCGTGTCCCAGCGGGCCTTTTCTAAGCGCCCCCGAACGCGCGTTCCCGGAAGCTCTCCAGAAGTTCTTCCGACAGCGCTCTCCAGGTCGGGGTGCTTCCGACTGGCCTTGCCGCGCCCTTTGGGCGCCCTGCTACCCGGGTTTTGGACCTCGCAAATTGAGGCCGCAGATGCATTGATCGCCGGCGCAATCCGACATCGACCCCCAACCGAAAGATGCCCCCCCCCCCCTCCCCACAAGTCGCATCGCCCGATGGGTAGGCTTACAGCTAGATGGTTCGCCCCGGGGCCTGCTCAGGCTGATCCCAAGATTCCATTTGACGGCCGCCCCCCTTCTCAGCTCCGCTGCAATTCTCTAGCCACAATAAATCGCCCGGGCATCGTCTCTGTTGGCGGGGGGGAGAAGCGCGAAGCCTTGCTCGACCCCCACGGCAGAATCAAACAATTCCAAACATGCGCGCGCAAGTGAGGGCGATCGACGCGCACCTCTGCCGAAGTCATCTGAGCCGCGCGGCGGCGGCAGCACGGCCAAACCCTAACGCGCACCAGCGGCCGCGTGAGACCGATTGCGACTGGGAAACACATGCAAGCACTCAAAAAGTGCGACCAGAGGAGAAGGCGATGATGCTTGGATCCGCCTTCTCACTGCCGCGGTCGCGCTGCTTCCCCCGCGAAGTCGCGCCGCCGGGCTTCTCTTTTTTCTACGAGAGCAGCTGAGTTAAGGCGAACTGCGGGTTCGCGAGTTGCAGCTCGCGGCATGAGAAGGCGTCCCTGGGCGACAGATTGATGTCGCCACGGGGCGGAGCAATCCTGCACAATTTCAGCGCGCCTAGCACTGAATCCACGCCTGCTTGACGGAGCAGTGCCGTTGGCCCCAAAGCTTGGGCTCTCTTTTTGCGGGTAGTTGGCGGGGTGTCGTGGCCGACGTTGCCGTGCCCCCCCGGGCCTCGCAGGGCGTTTTGCAAAGCCTTCCCAGTGCACCGAGGGCGATCAGGGGGGGTCATCGGAGACGCCTCAGAGACCCCCAAAACAGCACAAGAGCACTCCAAGAGTGACCGACGCGACCTCAAGATGGCCTCCAGGACGGCCCCAAAGAGGCCTCCACCAGCACTCCCAAGAAGGCCCCAAGGGGCGCAAATCATGGATTTTCTGACGGTGTTTGGTGAATGTCGGGGTTCACCTCTTTTCGGCTTCCCAACGCACCCAGACAGCGGTCTTCTGGCCGTCCGAAGCCGCCTGGGAGGCTCCTAAATCGCCCCACAACCATCCGAAAGGGCTTCGGGGCAGCCCAACAGAGCCCCAAAACGGCGCAACACGGGTCCAATATGGCCCTCAGAGAGCCCCGTGGCGGCCCAAGATGGCCCCAAGACACCCTCCGAAGCAATCCAAATCGTGACAGGGAAACCGCGGTTGGAGACGGGGTGGCCCGAGGAAACCCCCACAGGCCCCCAGAATGCGCCCAGGAGGCCTCCAGAAGGTCTTAAGAAAACCTGAAACAAACATGGAGGAATACCAACGAACATCATTATCATAGCGGCGAGGCCGGGAAAGGAAACGAGGAGTTATCGCTAAATTGTCGGCTCGACCCTCCTGCTATTCCGCCTGCGTGCCAAACTTCAAGGACCAAGGCGCATGGCGCGAAGCGCCACACTGCAGTCTTGTATATGTATATATGCGTGTAAGTGTATGTATACGTTTATAGCTGTGTGTATATGTATATATATATATGATAATAGTAATAATAAAACTAATAATAATAATAATAATAATAATAATAATAATAATAAAGTGACCCGCGAGGCCCCCTGCCGCGTGGCCACCTGCTGTCAAAGTGAAGTAGAACTCGGTCTCCCTGACGGAGGGGTTCTGGCCGTTCGCGCGCGCCCTCAGCACGCGGGGCGTCTTGGCGTCCAGCTTGGACTTGAACAAAAACCTGCAGGCGGGCGCGAAGATCTTTATCAGGTGGTTCCCCGGCGCCTTCTTCCCTTGGTCCTCCACTTCGGCTCTGGCATCTGGGCCACATCCACCTTTGCCCTTCTTCGTCCCCTGTCGTGGAGCGCGCGCGCGGCCCACTGCTCCTTGCGCCGCCCCTTCAGGACAAGAGTGCGCCCTTGGCGCGCCCTCGCGAAGCCGACGCCTCTCTCTTGCGCGAACAAATGCGGCACGTGTCTCGCTCGACCACGTCATCGCCAACGTCGTGGGCTGGACCCGGTGCACTTCCGAACATGCCATCGTCATCTTGCGTTTGCTGAAGAACTGGGGGCGCCTTGTTCTACGCAGACCTGCCGTGCCCCCCTCGCACTGGACGTAGTCAACGCAAGAGTCGTTGGGGGTCTCACAACCAAGTGCGCATGCCAAGCGCGAGCACATGACTTGGTCGATATCCCGGCCAGAACTCGAGTCGCCAGCGAGCGAGATAAAAGCCAAATCTAGCCTCTTCACACGAGGCGTGCCGTTGCATGCATTGCGCATGAAGCGAACGCTGTCCCTCGACCCCGCCATCGGGTTCTTGGAGGGCCAGCTGACAAACTTGAGCTCGTCATCGGGTTGTGGAAGGACGCCCGCGCCTTCTAGATACTGTTTGGCCTATTCCTGGTTCAGCGGCACGGTGAACTCGTAGGCGGGTTGCCCCAACCTGGCGAATCCCGCGGTGGAATGGGCGTCTGTTGGCTGCTGTCCGCTGTAAGACAGATGTGCCCAGCATTCTTCAAACAGGCAATCGGCGACTTGCTTGAGAAACAAAGATTTGCTTGAAGATCGAAAATGGCAGGTCTCAGCCGGATTCTGCCCAAGCTTCTTCAAACAGGTGCTTGACGGCAAGCTCCTTCTCATCATTATGAGTGCTGCTGCTGTTTTTCCTCCTCTTCCTCCTCGTTATCCTCCTCGTTATCCTCCTCCTCCTCCTCCTCCTCCTCCATCTCCTCCTCCTACTCCTTTTCCACCTGTTCCTCACCCGCCTCACCTCCTTCTCCTCCTCATCGTGATCTGTCTGTTCATTCTCCTCATCCCCCTCCAGCGCGAAAGGCAGTCGGGAGGATAAAGAGGGGATGGAGGCGAGCAAAGGGGAGGAAGAGGAGGGGGAGAAGGACAAGGAGGAGTGTTTTAGAACTTTTGGAATGATGGCAGCCTCTTGGAATAATTCACCCCTGTTTGAATCTATACATATATATACATATATATATATATATAAGATTGAGGACTGCAAGGAACTTGCGCCGACTATTATTCAATAGACTGCCCACCACCTGTTGAAATAATGGTGGGCATAAGTCCACTGAGACCATCAATATCATATATTGAAACGAAGGTTGATGTCAACCGCCTGTTTGAAGAATGCTGGGCATAAGTCCGCTGAGATCTCCGATTTCCAATATTCAAACATGTGTGCATTCCTCAAGCAGGTCGTCAAGCGCCTGTTTGAAGAAGGCTGGGCATTAATCCGATGAGACCTTCAATCCTCAATCTTCAAACATATGGAATATGTGTTTTAGGAAATTTTATGCCAGCGTTTCAATACGTTTCAGAACGGCCCTCAGAAGGGGACGGACGGAGTGGAGAGGGAGAGAAAGAGGGATAGAGAGAGATAGAGAGACGGAGAGAGAGAGAGAGAAGGTGAACGCCGACGCCACTGGCAAACGATAGGGCCTGTGGTGGGTATCAATGGGCTCTCGGAATTCTGCTCGGAAGTGCCCCTAATCTGTGGAGGCGGAAGGAAGTAGAGGAACAAGAAACTGAATAAACATAAACCGTCAGAACTTCTCGCGGCTGTTTCGGGTCCGCGCTGGGCCCTGCACGGAGCGCGCCAGGGGTGGCGCTGGAGGCGCCGCCCGTGGGGCCCGGCGCCGATCCCAGAAATCCGCGCAGGGCTGCGACACATTTTGTTCTTCTGCGAAGAGGGGCCGTGGCAGGAGGGGAGGGGAGGGCACGGAGGGGACGCGCAGCAGGACGGACGCAGGGGCGCTCTGCGCGCCAGGAGAGGAACACCGTCGTCAGCTTGGAGAACCCGAACTGGAACGTGAAGTAGGCTTCTCCTCCCGCGATCGGGGGCGTCCATGTGGGGCAGGAGAGCTCGAGATCGAATCGATATCGGATCGGCGATCGGAGTGAGTTGGACCGGCGGAAGTCGGCACCAGGTCGGGAGATCGACTCGGCGGAGATCGGCAG